GCAGTTTTGCTATCTATATTTGTAAAATTGCAGTTTTGCTATCTATATTTGTAAATAACCTTATAGACTCTATCGATCTACCCAGGTCTCCATTCAAAGTTCCATGGTAAGTTGGCGGACTTCCCTGGTTGGTAACAGAAATCATGGAAGGTAAACTCGACTAGACGTGAGGGAGGCTATGTTCATATTTTGCAACTCGGGAAAATCGGCGTTTTGGGAGAGTTACCGTTTTCGAAGAATCTGCGTTTTGAGGTAATGCGCGAACAGGCAAGCACTGGGACCGATTGGCTTTTCTAAAGAATCGACGTTCGAAAAGAATCGGCGTTCTAGGGGAATTGGCGTTTCAGCGCAATGGGCTTTTTCGCAGAATTGGCGCTTTACTAGGGCCGATTGATATCGGTACTATCCCTGACCTCTCCACTCAAAACGCCGATTCTCCAGAAACACCGATTCTTTCGCCAGATCAATACCTATACTTTCTTCCGAAACCTGATTCTCACAAAAGAACGATTCTCCCAAGTCGCAAAGTAGTAACGAAGCCTGATTGATGGCTTGTGCTTGTGTAAACCATTCGGAACAATCAGTGTGACTTCTTTTAGATAAATGGCTGTAGCCCTACACTGTCAGAGCAGGAGAAATTCCAAACAGCCAATGAGAGAGCACAAGATTATGCTCGTAGTAAAATAGACCTACCATCGTATCTTCAGCTTGGACCACATGAAACTGAACATCTGGTAGCTTCGCTACGATAAATTGAAATCGTGAGCAGTAAAAAATGCACGAATCAGTGATAATGATCTTGCTGACATCTGAAGCACTATCACTAAATCAACGAAACCGGCGACAGAATCAATCTTCGTAGAAGAAAAACCAGGTCGTTATGTTTTTCACAAAAGCCACGCTCCAGCGGGACTCAGCCGCTTGATGTCTGCTCGTCTGCACCCTCTAAGCAAGACAATGTGACATGTACTAACAAGACTGTCAGTGTCAGAACTTCTCACAGCACTATCTCACTCAGAAAGAATGACGCGCTCTAGCCCTGCTGGAGAGTGACCCCTCCCGAGGTAGTTAACAACAAATTAAGTAACTTACTTGAGATTGCGTG